AATAGTATACACTACTACCAGATGTCAGTCTGGTTTTACCACTAAATTAGGTATAATCTCAGTTAAGTTACTAGTTATTCTGGAAATCTATAAAATGACAGGCCTCTGAAAAATATTTAAATTCTGATTCTCAAACATATTATATTTATAATTCCCACATACATACATAAAAACTTTAAATACCACCACATTTCCTAGACCACAGTATATTATATAATATACATGAAACGAGAGTTCCAGCAACAACAGAGGCATAGATAGATTGACTCTGCCTCCTCGCACAACCAAAAGAAGCACAACCAAAAATTTAAAAAACAAAAAAAACAAGAACTGCCAGAAAACTGAACTGTATGGAAGTCCAACAACAAAGGAGTTAAAGAAGAAACATTCATCCAGACTGGTAGGAGGGGCAGAGAAGGCGCAGCCATGATGGAGAGGACACATGGCAAGGCAGCAGCTGGTGGACAGGACAGGCAAGGTGGCGGCTGGTGGACCGGGTGGTCCCACATATGCATGCTGATAAACCAGGAGGAACAGCTGGGGAGCAAGACAGACCACACAACCCAGGGTTCCAGTGCTAGCCAAATAAAGCCTCAGACCCTCTGGCTGTAACAACCTCTGGGGGTTGTGGCCATGGGAGAAACTGCCAGCCTCCTGAAAGCAGGGCAAGAGCCAAGCAAGTGGCATTGTTCCCGCTCTGAACTCTCCCTCACATACAGTGCCACAACTGCAGCAAAGGGGGTTGCCCTGACCTGGTGAACACCTAAGGCTCTACATCCTACAACATAATAGGTATGTCAACATAAAATATGGCCCAAGTGGAAGAACAGGTCAAAACTCCAGAAAAAGAATTAAGTGACAAAGAGATAGCCACCCTATCAGATGCAGAGTTCAAAACACTGGTAATCAGGATGCTCACAGAAATGGTTGAGTGTGGACATAAAATAAAGGAAGAAGTGAAAACTATACAAAAATGACACTTCCAGCCAAGACGGCAGCATAAGTAGATACACTTTGCCTCTTCACACAACCAAAAGAGGGACAACAAATTTAAAAACAATAAATAACCAAAACTGAAAGAAAACTGAACTGTATGAAAGTCTGACAACCAAGGAGTTAAAGAAGAAACATTTATCCAGACTGGTAGGAGGGGTGGAGATGGGCAGAAGGGGTGGAGAGGACATGAAGCAGGGCAGCACCTGCACGGCCAGGTGAGTGAGATGGCAACTGGCAGACCAGGCGGTCCCACACTTGCCTGTTGATAAAACAGCTGGGGAGCAAGACAGACCATGCAACCCACGGTTCCGTGCGAACAGAGAGCCTCACAACCTCTGGATGTAAAAACGTGTGGGCGTTGCAGCGATGGCAGAAACTCCCAGTCTCACAAGAGAATCCCTTTGAGAAACCCACAGGGTCCTGGAATGTACACAAACCCACCCACCAGAGAAACACTAGAAGGGACCAATTTGCTTGTGGGTAGTGGGGAAAGTGACTAAAAGCTGGTAGAGAGCCAAGCACAGGGCATTGTTTCCTCTCGGACCCCTCCCTCACACACAGTGTCACACAGCAGCAACCTGGGTTGCCCCGCATTAGTAAATACCTCAGGCTCTGCCCATCCCACCTTAACTGGTGCACTGATACAAAGAAATATGGCCCAAATGAAAAAACAGGTCAAAGCTCCAAAAACAGAACTAAGCGATGCACAGATAGCCAACCTATCAGGTGCACAGTTCAAAACACTGGTAGTAAACAGGATGCTCAAAGAAATGGTGGAGTATGGTCACAAAATGGAGGAAAAAGTGAAGGCTAGGCAAAGTGAAATAAAGAAAAATATACAGGGAACCAACAGCAAAGGGAAGGAAACAGGGTCTCAAATCAATGATTTGGAGCAAAAGGAACAGATAAACATTCAACCAGAACAGAATGAAGAAACAAGAATTCAAACACATGAGGAGAGGCTTAGGAACCTCTGGGACAACTTTAAACATTCCAACATCTGAATCATAGGGGTGCAGAAGGAGAAGAGGAAGAGCAAGAAATGGAAAACTTATTTGAAAAAATAATGAAGGACAACTTCCCCCATCTGGTGAAGGAAATAGACTTCCAGGAGATCCAGGAAGCCTGGAAGAGTCCCAAAGAGGTTGGACCTAAGGAAGCACACACCAAGGCACATGATAATTACATTACCCAAGATGAAAGATAAGGAGAGCATCTTAAAAGCTGCAAGAAGTAAGGTGACAGTTACCTACAAAGGAGTTCTCATAAGACTATCAGCTGATTTCTCAAAAGAAACCTTGCAGGCAAGTGGGACTGGCAAGAAGTATTCAAAGTCATGAAAGGCAAAGACCTACGTCCAAGACTACTCTAACCAGCAAAGCTATCATTTAGAATGGAAGGGCAGATCAAGTGCTTCCCAGGTAAGGTCAAGTTAAAGGAGTTCATCATCACTAAGCCCATACTATAGGAAATGTTTAAGGGAATTATCTAAGAAAAAGATGATGATCAGAAACTATGAACAGTAAAATGACAATAAACTCACAACTATCAATAACTGAATCCGGCGGGGAGGGAGGGAGGAGGGACTAAGCAAACAACTAGAACAGGAACAGAATCACAGAAATGGAGATGAGAGGGAAGGGGGAGGAATGGGGGAAAAGGTACAGAGAATAAGCAGCATAGATAGTAAGTACAAAATAGACAGGAAGAGGCTAAGAAGAGTACAGGAAATGTAGAAGCCAAAGAACTTATATGTATGACCCATGGCATGAACTACCAGGGGGCGGGGGCGGGGGCGGTGATGCTCCATGGAGCGGTGGTGGAGGGTAATAGAGGGGAGAAAAAAATGGGACAACTGTAATAGCATAATCAATAAAATATATATTTTAAAAATAAAGTGAAATAAAAAATATACAGAGAACAAACAGTGAAGGGAAGGAAACTGGGACTCATATCAACAATTGGAACAAAAAGAAGAAAAAAAACATTCAACTAGAACAGAATGAAGAAACAAGAATTCAAAAACATGAGGAGAGGCTTAGGAACCTCTGGGACAACTTTAAACACTCTAACATCTGAATCATAGGGGTGCCAGAGGGAGAAGGAGGAAGAGCAAGAAATTGAAAACTTATTTGAAAAAATAATGAAGGACAACTTCTCCAATATGGCAAAGGAAATAGACATACAAGTCCAGGAAGCTTAGAGAGTCCCAAACAAGTTGGACCCAAAGAGGAACACACCACAACACATCATAATTAAATGGCCAAAGATTAAAGACAAGGAGAGAATCTTAAAAAAGCAGCAAGAGGAGAGAGTTACCTACTGAAGAGTTCCCATAAGACTGATTTCTCAAAAGAAACCTTACAGACAAGAAGGAGCTAGCAAGAAGTATTGAAAGCGATGAAAGACAAGGACCTACATCAAGATTACTCTATCCAGTAATTACTCTATCTTTAGTTAGAGCGGAAGGACAAGTAATGAGCTTCTCAGATAAGGTAAATTTAAAGGTGTTCGTCATCACCCAAACCTTACTATATGAATTGTTAAAGGGACTTACCTAAGAAAAAGAAGATCAAAACTATGAACAGTAAAATGACAACAAATTCTCAACTAAGAATGAAAACAAACTAAGCAAACTAGAACAGGAACAGAATCACAGAAATGGAGATCACATGGAGAGATATCAGTGGGAAGGGGGTTGGGGGAATATTGGGGGGAAAGTACAGGGAATAAGAAGCATAACTGGTAGGTACAAAATAAGACAGGAGGAGGTTAAGAATAGTATAGGAAATTGAGAAGCCAAAGAACATGTGTACGACCCATCGATGTGAACTAATGGCAGGGGAATGCTGGAGGGAATGGGGGTAACTAGGTAGAGAGGGATAAAGGGGAGAAAAAAGCATGGGACAACTGTAATAGCATAATTAATAAAATATACTTAAAAAAGAATATACATGAAACATACTATCAGGGTGGGAAGTCTGGTAAATGTGGAAGTAACTGGACATCCAGATTATCACTGTGTTTGTGTATCTACACATACACACACACACGCATATATATACAAACACACTCAGAATATGAAAAAGAGTCCTGGATGAAGATTAAGGAGATTTTAATTTATTCCTGGCACTGCTACCAACCTTAAAACAGTAAGTTACTCCTACCTATCTATGTTTGTTTGCTTATCTGTAAGTTGAGAAAGCTTGGTATAGATGATTACTAAGATCCCTCTGAAACTTTATTATTTTCCTCCTTCCAAGCTAAAATGATGTCAATTTTTACCTAGAAAAATCAGACATTTTAGCACCAATAACTGTGAAAATTAGCTGATTTCATGGCCTAAGCAATGCCTGATCTGAGAGTGGGAAAAAAACCTCACCAGTCTTTTAAATGGTCCTACATTCACTTTCAAAAAGCAGTCTTAATTCTGTTTCTCCTTTCTAAAATAATGTATATTCACCCTAAATAAGGGTAGGTGATGAAAATCAGCTCAATATATGCACTGATATGTGAATTTTCTCACATAATCACAAAATTAACTGATGATTCCTTTGCTCCACAATATTTTTAATAGCCAAAATTTATTCACCATCTACTAGTGATGGATCCAGTGCTGAGCACTTTTAAGGCATTATCCCGTAAACCAAGAAGATAATTTTAGGTAATTTTCAGGCAAGAAAACTATTGTAAGGGCTGAAAAATACATGGCTACATCCATTTATTTCATTTCCAAGGTAAGGTAAATCCTTGCAAAAGAGCACAACAGAATCTTAGTTATTTTGTTAATTACCTTTAAGAAAAAAACAGGTAAGTGGAAATCAATTTAAATTCCAATGTCCACATCAAAAATGTAATTTATTCTTAATAATTCCAAGGTTTCTTACCATTATATTCCTACCTGTTTATTTCAAACCTATAGCAAAATGAGAAACAAAGAACACAAACTTATCTAAAAATATAATTAAAAGTTTCTTTAAAAAAAAAACCCAAAAACTTCTTACCTGAGCATGAAAATTGGACATAGTCGTTGTCTCTATATCCTTCTTTCCCAAAATCTCCATTTTCACTGGTGAATTTGGAAAATTAAATGAAAAGTAGTCTAAAAAGTCAGGTAAATAAGCAGCTGCCCCATGAACAATACCCATTACATAGAAAGCTGCAGAGTTTTCATTTTCACTGAATACTAGACCCACAAACTCTTCTGCAAACTTCTCCATCTCCACAGGAGACAGATGGGTGAGTTCATTACTGTAGGCATGGATAACTGACGCACCTCCATTAGGCTGATGCTCAATATGAATGAACTGTTTGAACTCCAAAGTGTCTAACCTTTTGAGGTTATTCTGAACCCGTGGCTCCTTTAATGAGACAAATGGAAACTCACTGTTCTCTGGAATTTTGAAATTATAGTTCTTGGTATCCAAATTCTTTCCACTGTGATCCTTTATGTTATCATTTAGGATGCCTTTGGGTTCTTGATCTTCAACATCAGATAGCAATCCTGAGCAGATGGTTTGAATAGATTTGCTATACATTTTTGGACGCTTCCGTTTTTCATTCTCTTTATGTTTCTTTTTCTTTTTCTTCTTTACCTTTTTAATTTGTAAGTCTTCTACATTTGTTTTTGGTTTCTCCTTCCCACCTGTTGGGAAAACATTTTTCTGAAACTCCATATTTTAGTTACTTAAAAAACCATGCTTTAGGAACTGTTTTATAATAAATAAGCAAAGTTTACTTAAAATTAAGTTTATATTTGGGACTCATTTTACACAGTATTGATAATCATAATTTAGTCAGTCTCTCTGCTCCTCTCTACACACACACAAATACACACCAAGGCTTAAGACAAAGTTACACCTTTCTGACATGTAGCAGATGATCAATTAGTGTTTACTGAAATAATGAAATGAGTGAATGTTTTAGAAAGCATAATCTCCACATTTTAAATGTAGAAAATCAGAAATGAAAAGTTGAACAAAAGTGAATACAATGCCTTCCAGATGTTTCCTAATACATGATGATATATATATGAGATTTTATATATATACATCATATTTATTTTAAGTTCTTAGGTATGAAAATTTATAAATCATAAAAGGAGAAAAATACTTGCTTAGTAATAAAAACAACAAACAGCAATTCCTTAGCTTTTTACTATATTTCCTCCTTAGAAAACTACTCTTGCATCTAAAATGGGCTGTTTTAGGTACAGCAGTTTACAAAGTTCCCAGTGACTACTCCACAAGATACCATAAAGGAGACAACAAAACTAGAATAATTTCTCATATCTTCAGCACAAATGATACCCATGTACTAATAAAGAGATGAATTAAAAAGGTAAAAAAAGAGAAAAGCATGGGGTATTATAAGCTTATATATTAATGAGCTTCTGTAACAAAAGCCAAGTATAGTCTGGGTTCAGAAATTTAGAACTCCAAAGAATAAAAAAATTAATCCACAGAGACTTTAAAGCTGTGGAACCTAAGTGTACATATAAACACTTAACATTATCATAGTATATTTCTATACAATAGGAAAAATAGAAAAAGGTAAACATTCTCACAAGAAATTATGTTTCCTAAGATATTTTAAAAAAGTCATTAGGCTGTTAGGTTGAAAATGAAGGCATTCACTGTTTTCACCTGTTATTTCACTTTTATAATCTTTCTCAATTTAACCTTCCCATCTACTTCTTTACCTAAATTTTTCCATCTTTACATATCTCTTTTATTCCTGTCTCCAGTGAGTTAAGATGTCCTGCCTAGTTTCCAAAAATAAGTCCCACCATTTCAAAAGCATTTGCTTAATAATTCTTTCCTCTTCTTTTACCATCAAACTTCTTGTAAAGAACAGTCTATGTCTAGTGCCTTCTCTTTTTTACCTTACCATTCTCATCCCTTAAACTCTGGGCCTGCTTCCAGTCTACTCAAATTTTCTTTCCCAGAATGTTCAAATTATCAGTGATATTCTCTCAAATTATTCTTCCTAATCTTTCCAGGGATAGATGGAATTATCCAGCTCATACTTGATTATTTTTGACTTCCTTGACACTTCTGCCTTAATTTTTGGTCTGCCTCGTAAGTGTCTCTCATCCTGAATTCTGGAGCCAAATTAAGCTTTAAGTTTTATATACTGTTTTACTCATACTCATTCCTTGACTCAACTGCTTTCAAAGAGTCTCAATGCCTATCAAATAAAATATAACCTCTTCAGTCTGAAGACAACGCCCTCAAGTAACTCATGCTCTGGTCAATCTAAACTACTTCCAATTTCTTGTAAGATATAACCTAGTTCTACGTTATTTTTTTACTACTGACAGAGGCATTTCCTCTCCCTAAAATACACTTGCCCTGCCCAATACTTACTACTGAACGCTTTCTTACTCATCTTTAAAAGCTCTTGTCATTTACTTAATTTTGCTTTCTTTTCTCTCTCTAGTTGGGACTGAAGTCACTTCATTCTAATGTTACTCTATATTCCACATATATGAATATATATGATAGTCATATAAAGTTATTATTTTTTTCACTCATAGGATACCTATATATCATATGTCCTTTAGGACACTGTACAGTATGAGTGAAACAAGTAACTTTCATATAAATTCAGAGTGACATGATATTTTCCCCCTCAATCAACGTGTCCCTCATGGTATCCAGAACATTGCTACTGATGAACATTTAGTGAATCTATAAATGAAAAGATTTCTCTTACCAACAGACTACCTGAGGTTTATAGGTTTTCCCCTTGCCTCCTTTTCAAAGTTTTCCACCAAATGAATACCATTTAATCCCACCCTGGAAACAAAAATTCTCTCAAGTTGATAGCAATTCTAAAAAAGGGAAGTTTAATGTTAATAATAAACTATCACATCAAGAAATTCGTAAGTATGCAGTGAAGAACAAATTAATATCATCATGAAAGCAAAAATAAAAGTCTGTCAACATTATTGATTACATGTGTTTATAAAGTCATAAAGCCCTGGCCAGGTGGCTCAGGTGGTTGGAGCATCCTCCTGTACACCAAAAGGTCGCAGGCTCAATTCCTAGTCAGGGCACATCCATAGGTTGTACTTATTAAAATCTGTGGGCCAGACACTGCAGTTGGTACTTCCCCCATACTTTATCTCATTTAATCTTGACAACCTGTAAGAGAGTAATTACATTATTATTTACTTACACTTTACAGTAAATATATTTCCCATTGTCATCCCAAAGGTCACCAATTCATTTCCAAGTGTGCTTCATTTTTCTTTTCCTTATCATCACTAGGTTTCAGTTTAACTCAGTTCAAAGTATCTCCTAAATTTTTCATCTACTTTAAAGTCAAGGATACTATCACATGTTACTAAAAAAAATGTCCATTTTTTAAGGCTATTTTAAATGTTTGCATATGCATTTCACACTAATGGTATGTTAGAAATCTTAACATTTGACCAACTGACAGGAATTAACATCACTGTACGTTTAAATGGATAAGAAAATGACTATGTGACTGAACCAGTGAAAAATGACTGCATGACTAAACCACTAGGGTAAAGTAAACATTTCAAGCATTAATCATTAGCCACTAAACAGCATTGATGTACTTAGAGTCGATTCCTGACTCGAAGGCTTGCAGTCTAACTAGACAATACAGATAAAACACACTGGCAAAAGAAATAGAACAAAAGGACCAGGAGCATTAACTAAGTAGCCATCAACTTAACCTCTAACATGTTTCAACAACATTGACATAATTTTACAGAAAATAAAAGTTCTGATGAGTAGAAAATAGAGCTTAAATAAAGTGGCATCAAAGAACATCTAGAAATATGACAAAGGATGAAATAAAAATACAAACTCTTAATATTCTGTTTATCCAAAATAATATAAAGTAACCAGTTATATCATTGTACATGTAGTGCTATTGCCTTTTCTCCTTTATGTAAAGTCTTATGAACCCATAACTTCAATATGAAATTAATCAAAATCAAAATGTTCTGCTCTGCAAACTGTCAATTTGATAGGGCAACTAATGAATTTGTTAGCTGCCTAGCAACCAAATACCATTGATTCTTCTTACCTTGCTGAGTGAATTTAACACTGTCCTTACTTCTACCACAAATTCTCTCTGAAATAGTTCACAGATTTAGTGATAGCACTTGTACTATTACCCAATTACCCACCTCCATGTATGAACAGCAACTAAAAACAATTGTAATAATAAAGAAAAAAACAAGAAACGAAGAGAATATTCTTAAGCATGTAAGAAACATATAGTAAAAACAGTACACATTCTAATTTAGCTCAGAGTAAAAAGTTCCCTCCAAATCCCAAACTATGATATAATGACTGTCAAATATATATAAGATCACTCACTTCACCATCCCTATCAAGCTACAAAATAGTTTTATTATTTATTTTAGATCATCTAAATACGAATGAAGACTAGTAATGCAAACTCAAAATTATATAACCTAATTTTAAATAATTTAAGGAACCTAACAGTTCAATGAAGCTTAACCTTTACTACTTTTTAATGACTCAATAAATAAATATACTAAAGATGTGTTACTCTACAGATTCCAATTCCCCACTATTACATTTAATTTTCATAGTCTGACCATTTGTTTATTCTCAGAAAATTCAGCACCAGATAACATTTATTTTAATAACTAAGCCAGTAAGTATACTGAATAATACAGTACAATTAAAATCACTGAATATAAACTTACTTTTCAGCAAAATCTTGACTTCTCCATTTTCTTTCTTGATCTCATTCATTGCTTTATGCTTCTTTTTCTCTCTCTCTTTTTCTTTATCTCTCTCTTTAATTTTGTCTTTGATTTTATCTAAAAGACAAAAAAGGAACTATTTTACAATTTTATTTTTTTCCAATGAATTATACTACAAGTTCTAAAATTTCCTTCATATATTGAACATGGAATACATAATACACATGTCATAAACTACCAAAATTTATCATTGTACATTTCATTCTAATGATTATTTTTCACTTACTTCACGTCAACCACAATGTTAGGCTAACTTCAAATCACTTAAAATAATGGCTAACTTGAATTGACACAGTAAATCACAGTGGGAAAAGTATTAACTTTGAAGTCGGGCATATCTAAACTGGTAACATAACACTGGAAAAATTACTCAGTCTCAGTTTCCTCTCTGTAAGATGGTAGCTGATATCTTTTTCATAGGTTACTATAAAGACTAAATGGAGAAAGATATAAAATAACTTCCCAGAGACTGTTATATACTACTAGACACTAGTTCCCTTAACCTTGCACCTTTTAGAAAGGATATGACTGATCTAGCTAGTTGATGATATTATATTAAAATAAAGGGTATAAAAACTCTAGGAATTATTGTCTACCACCTAAAAACTCAAACTTTGAGTTTATAAAATTAACTGATGTCCTGTTAATTCTTGTTTGTTCAAGCGCTGATGTATCGAGCAAAAATCAAGAGGTAGAAGAGAATTTAAAAATAGTGACATAGACCTTGCCCTCAAAAAGCATACTACTGATTACAAAGCCATGATAGAAGCACATAAAAACCATAAAATATTCTTCAATGTAATAGAAATTATATAATTAAGTGCATATTACATAATTTCTTAAATCCTTCCTTACTTTCTACCCTCATTCAGGCCCTGATCACCTAACAATTAGATTATTGTTTAAAAGATCTGCACTGTCCAATAAAAATATAATGTTCACGACATACGTAAATTGAAAAATTTACTAAAACAAACGAGTGAAATTAATTTTAATAATATATTTAACCAATATATTCAAAACATTTCAAAACTGAACCAATACTAAAAATATTGTGCTATTTTATATTTTTTTCATAAGATTTCAAAATGCAGTGCATACAGCACAACTCAGTTAAAAGTAACAATAGCTGCACATTCAATGTGCAATAGCCACATGATACTAGTGGCTACCATAATCAATAACTTAAGTCTAGACTACTTAAATAGATAGTTCTAAAAAAAAATTACATCTTTGCACTTAATAAGCATCTTAAAAGTTATATTCATTAATGATAAAAATATACAAATTAAGATATTTTCACCTATCAAACTGACAACGTGCTTTTTTTTAAAAATGATAATATTGAAAGCAGATGAGAAGACAAGGGATTCACTGAGAAAGGATTGCTGAGTATAGGGAAAGGGTTAAGGTGCAGAGGTGAATAAGATACATAAGGTCCTTCATTGCTCACATATAACTTAAATTACAGACTACATTAAGCTGTTCTCACATTTATTAGTTTGCTACTCTTACTTTTTGATATTTAAAGTCCTGTTATAGGCTTTAGTAACATCAACCCTTAAAATGTTACTCCAAATAGCTCGGGCTTAGACACACATACGTTACTATTTTCTAAATAACCACGCATTTTTAAAAAATAGACTATTTACATATCGTTTAAAATCCAAACTGAATGCAGGGGTGTGAGTGGAGGTGGAAGAGGGCATGAAGGATAAATGGTAATGGAAAAAATACATATATACATGGAATAATGAAAGTAAAATAAAAACCAAAAAAGTCATCTGAAATATCTCTGCATTTCATTTTCCAGTTATCTCTATTAATCTTATTATCCTCAAGTGTTATTTCAGTCACTATTAACCTTTTAACATATAGACAGAAAAAAGCATTTAAGTTCAATCTTCACAAAAATGAACACCTCAAAACCCCTCTGTGCTCTCTTCTAGTATTTATGCAGCACCACAAAGGCTAGACATGATCCTGACTTCTAACCACACAGACTAAAACAACTATACGATTTTACTGGCATATATAAATAATATGATATACTATAAATTTACCACAGTTGCAAAACATTTTACAGAATAAAATTATATTAAATTCTCAGGAAATAAACTATAATATGGTATAACTCAAAGTTTTTGTAGACTTTCTTTATATACTTGCAGACTTTATTTTTTAGAGCAGTTTTAGGTTCATAGAAAAACTAAACAGAAAGTACAGTTTTCCCACATATACGTCCTGCCCTCACACATACCAATTTTTAAAAACATTTATAATTAATATACACTTTCAGAAAACACAGTGAATGATAATAGTTCAAATTATTAAAAGCCATTAAGTGACAAAAGTTTTTAAGATGCTGTAATAGGAACATGTTAGTTTCATAACGCAGGAAAAAGGGTCTTGGAATATGCCTTCAAGTTCAACTAAAGTTAAACAGCTCAATTAAAGGCAAGTTTAAGGTGGGAGGTCATTATATATGGGAGGTCATTATATCAAAAACCTCTATAGAGGCTCTGGCCAGGATGGCACTCTAGGTAAATGTGGTACACTGAACCCCTCACAACCACATCAAAATTATAACTAAATTACAGAACAACTATCATTTCAGATGCCTGAAATCTAGCTGAGGAGAAGCCCTATAACTAAAAATATAAAAAAGCCACATGTAGACTGGCAGGAGGAGTGGAGAAGCAGAACAGGCTGGTCCCACACCCATATGTGGCAGTTTAAAACAGGGAGAAATATGTCCACTGCAGAGGTCTCCCCAGAGGAGCAAGGGGTTCTGACCCAATACCAGGACCCCCAGCCCAGGATTCTAGTGCCAGGAAGAGAAGTCCCCATAACTTCTGGCTGTGAAAACCAGAGGGGATTGTGGTCGAGTGAGACAGAGGCTCCTGGAGCCCCAAGTGTTCCTCTTAAAAGGCCTAAGCACAGACTTTCTGGTACTCTCTAACTGAGCTCCAGCGCTGCCACAGCTCTAAAGGCACCAGAGTCACACAAGGAGGAAATAAATTGTCTGACTTCAGGGCAAGAGCTAGAGGGGCAGCTTCCTCCCAGACAGAAGTACTGGTAGAGACACGTTGCTCCTTTGCTGAGCCCTCTCCCAACAGAACTGGCAGGCAGGCGTCATATCTGAATCTCAATCAACCTGGCTAAGGCTGTTCTTCCTGCCCTGGTGATTCCCTAAAACTCTGTCTCACCCAATCTGTCAGCCCACCAAAGCCATTTCCATACAAATGGCCTCTCTTGGCACATGCTTCAGACTTGCCTAAAATCTCTCAAACAAGCAGCATCTGGTCTCAGGATACCCCATGCTTCTTGTTACATGGCCCCAAGCATGGCACCAGCAGCAGCCAGCCTCGGCAGCCAGCCTCAGTTTGCAGCTTGGCCTCTCCCAGGGATCCTCCAAGCCCAACACAAGTAGCAGCCATGTGCAGATCAGTTCATGCCAGGTGGCCCCGGCAGAGCACAGGCAGTAACTGACCTTCCTGGGACTTCCTCCTAGGAAGCCCCTGAGCCAATACAACTGGTGGACAGCTTCAGACCATGCTGGATTACAACCCTGCCACCCCTATGAGTGAGACACTCAAGGGGTAGACTTGTGGCACCAAAGCCCCACTGAAGCAGTCCTCTCCATGGGGTCAGCCCCTGCACAGCCGCTCCTCTGCTGCAGTCAGTCCTCGCAGCTGATGATCCCAGGTGTCAATCCCAATCAAAGCTCAACTATAATAGGATAGTGCACACAGACCACATAAGGGTGCATCTGGAGTGCCCAGCTCAAGTGACTGAGGAGGCTGCACCACTGGGCCCTACAAGACACTTAATACATAAAGCCACTGTACCAAGCATACACCTGATACATAGAAACAAACACAGGAAAACAGCCTAAATGAGGAGACAAAGAAACTGGTCCCAAATAAAAGAATAGGAGAAATCTCCAGAAAAAGAACTAAATGAAATAGAAGCAAGCAAACTACCAGATACAGAGTTCAAAACAATGCTCAAGGAACTTAATGACAGCTTCAAGGAGCTTTAACAGCATAAAAAAGGACATGGAAACCATAAGAAAGAACCAGTCAGAAATACACTAACTGAAATCAATAAATTACAGGAAATTAACAGCAGAGTAGATGAAGAGGAAAATCAAATCAGCAATTTGGAATGTAAGAAATCTAAAAACAAAAACAAAACTTCACAAAACCCCAATCATGACAGCAAAAAGAAAAAAATTCACAAAAGTGAGGATAGTACAAAGAACCTTGAAGACAACTTCAAGTGTACCAATATTTGCAACAAGGCAAGAGGGGGCGGGTTCTTTCTTAGAAAGAGAAGAGAAAAAGCAAGAAATTGAAAACCTATTTGAAAAAAATAATGACAGAGCCCTGACCAGGTGGCACAGTTGGTTGGAACTTCATCCCATATACCACAAGGCTGGGGGGTTTAATCCCCAGTGAGGGCATATATCTAGGTTGCAGGTTTAATCCTGGTCAGGATGCATATGGAGGCAACCTATCAATGTTTCTCTCTCTATAATACAGACGTTTCCCCCTCTTTCTCTCCTTCTCTCTTTCTATCTCCTCCCACACTCTTTAAAGTCAAAAAATATATCCACAGGTAAGGATTAAAATCAATAATGAGAGAACACTTACATAACCTGGTGAAGGTAATAAACACAATTCCAGGAAGTGCAGAGAGTCCCAAACAAGATGAACACAAAGAGACCCACACCATGACATATCAAATTAAAATGCCAAAGGTTAAAAACAAAGAGATTCTTAAAAGCATCAAGAGAAAAGCAGTTAGTTAACTACAAGGGAGTTCCCATAGGACTGTCAGCTGATTTCCTGACAGAAACTTTGCAGGTCAAAAGGGATTGGCAAAGAATATTCAAAGTGATGAAAAGCGAGGGCCTACAATCAATATTGCTCTGCCCAACAAAGCTATCATTTAGAATTGAAAGACAGATAAAGAGCTTCCCAGACAAGAAAACGCTAAAGGAGTTAGTTCATCACCTTACCAAACCAGTATTATAAGAAATGTTACATGGT